TGCAGTGGTGTGATCTTAGCTCACTGCAGCCTCCACCTTCTGGGTTCAGGCGAATCTCTTACCTCAGCCTCCTGAGTAGCTGGGATTACACGTATGCACCACCACGCCCTGCTAATTTTTGTATTTTTGTCAAGACGTGGTTTCATATGTTGGCTAGACTGGTCTTGAACTCCTGACCTCAGGTAATCTGCCTGCCTTGGCCTCCCATAGTGCTGGGATTACAGGCATGAGCCACCACACCCTGCCTTGTTAAATGTTTATTATAAAGCAAAAGGGAGCAAGTAATTACCTGTGTTCTCTCCAGTCATTAGTGTTAACATTTTAATGAGTACATATCCAGTCTTTTTACTGTTCACATCAATCTCTCCTTTACAAGACTGCAAGGGCAGTGTAGTTAATCAGCCATGCTTATCTCTGTTTTTAAATTAGTATTTAATTTTTATGCAGCTTTATAGAGTTCATTATATAATGAAACTAAGTAGCTCTTCCAGTTAAAAACAAAAATCAAGGCTGAGTTCTGTTTTGTACACGGAAGAGAAATATAAGACTTGACATTGACCTTTTAGTAGAGAAGAAAGATGTCACATGTCTAGTTTCAAATCAAAGGAATAAGAAGTTGCAAAATAAAATTTAATTATCAGATGTTTGCATTGTTCTCATTAAATTTAAAGTATGATCTCATTATAAAATTATAGTATAATTATCTAGGACAGTAGTCCAAATTAACATAAGATCACTTAACCATTTCCCAATTGTTGTCTATTTACTGTTGTTACAGGTGTTTCACATGGGTAAATCACATGCTATAACAAAATATCTACATGTATTCTATGTTGGTTTTCTTCTTTTTGAATTATATCCCTGGAGTAAATTCCCAGAAGTGTCACTTGTGTAGTCAAAGGATGTAATCATTTTTACATTTCACATATTTCAAAAATGAAATACTACACTAAAAAATGTGTGCTCTCCAATATGAGCTGTGTAATAAGAATGTGGTAGGTTTATCATTGAATTTCTATGCCAAATCAAGTATTCCATGGGCTTCCTTCGTTTAAGAAAAGGGATTAAAGGTAATAATACTTTCCCCACATCAAGGGTAACACTCCAAAACAAGGATTATACTGCAGACAGCTACCCTTTGTGGTTTTATTCTAGTCTTCAAACTATTTCATTCCCTGAAGTCAAGATTACTATACCAATTACAAGTGATTTTGGATATCTATCTGATATTTTCAGGCATGCTTCAAATTTAATGCAGGGATTAAAAGAATGGGACTTGGACTCAATTTAGTTCTTTACAGGAAACCAGCATTTTTGGCTCCAGAATCCCCGTAATTTAAACATCCTTAGATTTACTGTTGTTGATGTAAAGATTTAATAAAATGAGAATTGGAATTCTCCATTAATTTCTTTTTATGTTTATTCCCAAGGTTTGCAAGTAACAGCATAAAGACGGAATGCAGCAAATCCTTCCTGAAGTGAGTTAGGAAACTCAAAGGAGTAATTTAAGAACCTTAACTAAGATACAAGGTGTACTGTGGTACAATGACAGCCATTGTTTCATATGTTTGATTTTTATTGCACATGGTTTTCCCAACATGTGGAACAGTAAATATCCATGCCAATGGGCAGGACTCTAGCTTAGCAAGTTGCTCCCTCTCCAGGAAGCACATAGATATAGCAGAGCTCACAGTGAGTCAGAGAGTCTCCACTTTTTGAACATAGCTCTAAAATGATGATTGTCAAACTTTTCTAACTGGAGCTCAGAGTAAGAAATAAAGATTACATCACAATCCAATATATGTAGAATTCATTGTATGTGTATTTGTGTGTCTGTAGGTGTGTATATGTGTGTGTGATACATACATACATCAAGTATCATAGGACATTGACCTTATATATTCTGCACTGTGATGTTTTTCCATCTTTAATTTCAAAAAATATATTGATCACAACCACAATTTGGAAAATGTTGCTCCATACCATCCCATACCACACTCACCACCTGCAAATAATAGCATTACTAGGAGCTGCAGTCACAATGAATAAATCAACAATTTGCTACAAGATCTAGGATTATTTATGTATTTTGGTAGGGGTGTGTGTGTGTGTGTGTGTGTGTGTGTGTGTGTGTTTGCATGTATCTAATACCATTGTATCTCATTGTTGAGACTTTGTTACAAATAGGGTTTCTGGGTTTTTTCCCCCCACTCCTGGTTCATTTTGTTTTTGTCAAACCAGTGGTCTAAAATCACAGAAATAAGCAGTTACTTCAATCATGTGGAATCCAGGGGACCTATCTTTGGAAAGCACAGGAAGGAGGTCTGAACTGTGTGATCTCTTGAGGCTGCTTTCAATGCTGGAATTTAAATTATGTACTGGACAATCTTTTGCTTATTCATAACAAAAAGATTACAGACAACCATCTCAATTTTCTTTTTTTTATACTTTAAGTTCTAGGGTACATGTACACCATGTGCAGGTTTGATACATAGGTATACATGTGCCATGTTGGTTTGCTGCACCCATCAACGCGTCATTTACATTAGGTATTTCTCCTAATGCTACCCCTCCCCCAGCCCCCAACCCCTGACAGAGCCCAGTGTGTGATGTTCCCAGCCCTGTGTCCAAGTGATCTCACGGTTCAATTCCCACCTCTGAATGAGAACATGTGGTGTTTGGTTTTCTATCTTTGTGATAGTTTGCTGAGAATGATGGTTTCCGGCTTCATCCAAGTCCCTGTAAAGGACATGAACTCATCCTTTTTTATGGCTGCATAGTATTCCATTGTGTATATGTGCCATATTTTCTTAAGCAAGTGTATCATTGATGGACATCTGGGTTGGTTCCAAGTCCTTGCTATTGTGAATAGTGCCACAATAAACATAAGTGTGCATGTGTCTTTATAGTAGCATGATTTATAATCCTTTGGGTATATACCCAGTAATGGGATCACTGGGTCAAATGGTATTTCTAGTTCTAGATCCTTGAGGAATCGCCACACTGTCTTCCACAATGGTTAAACTAGTTTACCCTCCCACCAACAGTGTAAAAGCATTCCTATTTCTCCACATCCTCTCCAGCATCTGCTGTTTCCTGACTTTTTAACAATCGCCATTCTAACTGGTGTGAGATGGTATCTCATTGTGGTTCTGATTTGCATTTCTCTGATGACCAGTGATGATGAGCATTTTTTCACGTGTCTTGGCTGCATAGATGTCTTCTTTTGAGAAGTATCTGTTCATATCCTTTGCCCACTTTTTGACGGGGTTGTTTTTTTCTTGTAAATTTGTTTGAGTTCTTTGTAGATCTGGATATTAGCCCTTTGTCAGATGGGTAGATTGCAAAAATTTTCTCCCATTCTGTAGGTTGCCTGTTCACTCTGATGGTAATTTCTTTTGCCGTGCAGAAGCTCTTTAGTTTAATTAGATCCCATTTATCTATTTTGGCTTTTGTTGCCATTGCTTTTGGTGTTTTAGTCATGAAGTCCTTGCCCATGCCTATGTCCTGAATGGTATTGCCTAGGTTTTCTTCTACGGTTTTTATGGTTTCAGGTCTAACATTTAAGTCTTTAAACCATCTTGAATTAATTTTTGTGTAAGGTGTAAGGAAGGGATCCAGTTTCAGCATTCTACACATGGCTAGCCAATTTTCCCAGCACCATTTATTAAATAGGGAATCCTTTCCCCATTTCTTGTTTTTGTCAGTTTGTCAAAGATCAGATGGTTGTAGATGTGTAGTGTTATTTCTGAGGCTTCTGTTCTGTTCCATTGGTCTATATCTCTGTTTTGGTACCAGTACCATGCTGTTTTGATTACTGTAACTTTGCAGAATAGTTTGAAGTCAGGTAGCATGATGCCTCCAGCTTTTTTCCTTTTGCTTAGGATTGTCTTGGCAATGCAGGCTCTGTTTTGGTTCCACATGAACTTTAAAGTAGTTTTTTCCAATTTTGTGAAGAAAGTCATTGGTAGCTTGATGGGGATAGCAATGAATCTATAAATTATCTTGGGCAGTACAGCCATTTTTACTATAATGATTCTTCCTATCAATGAGCATGGAATGTTCTTCCATTTGTGTCTTCTTTTATTTCATTGAGCAGTAGTTTGTAGTTCTCCTTGAAGAGGTCCTTCACATCCCTGTAAGTTGCATTCCTAGGTATTTTTTTCTCTTTGTAGCAATTGTGAATGGGAATTCACATATGACTTGGCTCTCTGTCTGTTATTGGTGTATAGGAATGCTAGTGACTTTTGCACATTGATTTTGTATCCTGAGACTTTGCTGAAGTTGCTTATCAGCTTAAGGAGATTTTGGGCTGAGACGATGGGGTTTTCTAAACATACAATCATGTCATCTACTAACAGGGACAATTTGACTTCCTCGTTTCCTAATTGAATACCCTTTATTTCTTTCTCTTGCCTGATTGCCCTGGCCAGAACTTCCAACACTATGTTGAATAGGAGTGGTGAGAGAGGGCATCCTTGTCTTGTGCAGGTTTTCAAAGGGAATGCTTCCAGTTTTTGCCTATTCAGTATGATTTTGGCTGTGGGTCTGTCATAAATAGCCCTTATTATGTTGAGATACGTTCCATCAATACCTAGTTTATTGAGTGTTTTTAGCATGAAGGGCTGTTGAATTTTGTTGAAGGCCTTTTCTGCATCTATTGAGATAATCATGTGGTTTTTGTCGTTGGTTCTGTTTATGTGATGGATTACGTTTATTTATTTGTGTGTGTTGAACCAGCCTTGCATCCCAGGGATGAAGCCGACTTTGAGACAGTCTCACTCTGTGGCCAGGCTGGAGTTTGGTGGCATGATCTCGGCTCACTGCAACCTCTGCCTACTGGGTTCAAGCAATTCTCCTGCCTCAGCCTCCCAAGTAACTGGAACTACAGGCGCGTGCTACCGTGCCCAGTTAATCTTTGCATTTTTGGTAGAGACAGGATTTCAGGATGGTCTCTATCTCCTGGCCTAGTGATACACCAGCCTTGGCCTCCCAAAGTGCTGGAATTAGAGGTGTGAGCCACCACGCCCAGCCAACTATCTCAATCCTTAAAATATATTGTTACATTAGCCATTCTCTACAGACTCAGTAAGCTCTCATTATTTCTTTATTTCTAACTAGCTTGCACTCACTTGGTGATGACTGGACAATTCTTTGGCTCCCACACACTACAAAAAATACAAATAAAAACAAAACCCAGGTTCAAATTACAGTTCATCCGCTCAGTAGCTATGACTTCAATCAAGCCATTTAAAGTCTTGGTTTTCTCTTTTTAAGATGGGGGATATCAACGGTATTTAGAATGGATATAGGGTAGAATAAGGATAAAGTTCAAATATTTTAATGTGGCCTCCAAGGCTTTCTCTGATCTGGCTTCTGTGTACCTCTCTATCCTTATTTCCCATCAGAACTGGGTCATATGGTCACCTCTCCCTGCAAGGGAGGCTGGGAAGATGTCATGATAGTTTCAGACCAATTGTGATTCTGCCTTGGGATGTTGCCACTGAACAATATCAAGGATCTTTTAGTGAGGAAATAGGAAAGCCACTGAAGATGCCTACCACAGCCTTTTTCTGCATACCTTCCCTGGCCATGATTGTATCAAGTTTGGGTTGCTGTAATTTGTGTTATTAACACGTTAGGAGGGTTTTGTTTTGTCGTATTAGGATAAAAATAGAGTGTCGATATGATTATTAAACTTCACTTCTAAGAATTTCTGAGATGCCCTCTTCTCCCCCTCCCTGCTACAGAGGCATGGCCCTGCTGATTGAGAATCATCCGTTTTCTCCCCATTTCAGCATATGAAGGTCAGAGAAAATATCTTTATCTTGCAAAAAAAAAAAAAAAAAGGCATTAAAAAGGAAAACATTCCAGTAATTTTGGGAAGAAATAAGTATATTTTTGCTCACTTGTATCAGTGAGAAATAAATAGGAATTTGAAATAAGAATACCAGTGCTTCATTTCTGCATGCACTGATCATATTACAGTTACTCTTTATTACAGGAGTTACTGGTGGTACTGTTATCTATTTAGAAAGATACAATACATATTTGACAAGGAGCAAATCTGCTGAAGTCTTCACTTTCTGTGCATAAATAACCCCAGTTCCTTTAAGATGAGTTTGCTGTAGGAAGGCTTCATCGTGTTTAGTATTAAACATGAGTTTGATTTCAAAGGTTTGGAAGACACACAGACCATTACACTAAAGGATGAGATTCAAGCCACATAGTTTAAGTATATGCTTGTGATATATGACAGTCACAAAATGTTGAGGTATTAGTCCAACACTCTATATCTCAATATTGAAATTGAAACTAAAGCTGTCCACAATCCTGACATCATACAAGCATACACACATACATTTTTCATTTTAGACAAAGAATGGCAGAAAAGTAGCCTGCTAGAATACATCATCTCTCCTTCCCTATTTTAAGGGAGCAAATCAAGGAGCCCGGAAAGGCAAGAGTTGTGTCAGGGCAAAATGAAGCTTTCTGTTCCGCACCTTTGGAGCCTAGTCAAGGATGCAAGCCAGCTCATGAGGTTATCCATGGGGTAAGGAACAGTGGTGAGGTCCTGGAGCTCCATGCCACCATCTGGCCATGTTGACCTGTGGTTTGTGACTCTAGCTGTCCTTTCAATATGCCATCAATGGTGGGGAGTTCAGAAAAAGCAGATTGAGTGCAGTGCTCTTGCCTGTAATCCCAGTACTTTGGGAGGCCAAGGCAGGTGATCACCTGAGGCCAGGAGTTCAAGAACAGCCTGTCCAATATGGTGAAACTCCGTCTCTACTAAATATACAAAAATTAGCCAGGCCTGATGACGTGCACCTGTAGTCCCAGCTACTCAGGAGGCTGAAACAAGAGAATTGCTTGAACTGGGGGGGCGGAGGTTGCAGTGAACCGAGATTGTCACTGCACTCCAACCTGGGCAACAGAGTGAGATACCGTCTCAAAAAATAAAAAGAAAGAAAGAAAGAAAAAAAAAAGATTATGATAGAAGCGAGCTATGTGACTTTTTAGGCCAGATCATAAAAGGTGATACAGCTGAAAAGGTATGCAAAAGGCAGAAAAGGCATTACTCTACTGTGCACACACAGAAATAGATGAAAATTGCAATAGCAGCTTTTGGGCTCTAATCACGGTAGCATGACATGCAGATAAGACAACATCAAAAGCAAAACTTCTTACCACAGTGAGCATATCTGATCCTTTCATGCTCACGAGCCCAGAAATGCAAAAGTAGAGACATAGTAATACGTTCCTGGAAAAGTTCGGTTGTCTTCTTCAAGATTAGAAATAAAGACTAGGCTGGGTGTGCAGGAAGCTGAGATGAGAGAATTGCTTGAGCCCAGGAGGTCGAGGCTGCAGTGAGCCGTGCTTGCGCCACTGCACTCCAGCCTGGGTGACAGAGCAAGACCCTGTCTCAAAAATGAAAAAAAAAAAAAAAGATAAAGAAATAGAGACTAGGCTGGTTGTGGTGGCTCGTACCTGTAATTCCAGGGTTTGGGAGGCTGGGGTGGGAGGATCACTTGAGGCTAGGAGTCTGAGACTAGCCTGGCAATATAGTGAGACCCCATCCCTACAAAACAATTAAAAATTAGCCACCCATGCTGCCTCGTGTCTGTAGTCCTAGCTACATGGGAGGCTGAGGCAGGAGGATCACTGGAGCCCAGGAATTTGAGGCTGCAGTGAGGTACAATTGCACCATTGCACTCCAGCCTACGTGACAGTGACCTGGTCTCTGAAAAAAAAAATGAGAAACTAAAACTCATACAAAGTCCTATTGACTCTTCCTGTCAAGCTCGCACAAGCAGATTCCTGGAACTTCCTGCATATAGCAGTGTTTTCCCAACCTTAGCATGTGTCAGAATCACTTGGAGAGCTTGTTAAAACGTAGATTGCTAGTCCCCAATGCCAGAGTTTCTGATTCAGTACGTTCGGGATAGGGCCCTAACATTTGCATTTCTAGCATGTTTCTAGGTGATGCTGATATTGATTACCCAGGGACCACACTTTCAGAATTCTGGCTCTATAGTGGACAAATAGCAGCTTCCAGGCCCTGAAGGGCCCACACTGAATTGTTATTTGGAACTAAAAGCCTGAAATTATCAGTATTATCAGCCCCTAAAATATTGCAGAATCGCTCTTATACCAGTTATTGATTTTACTGACATTTAGTTCCAAATTCTCCCTTTTTGCTTCATCTGTGAAAATGAATCTGGGCCCTTTACATATTTTTCTTTTGCCAAGTGGCATAATGTTGAGCATTGTCAGTAGAAGGCACTGGAGAGACACTGCAGGAGGGAAAGGTTTTGAGTTTTGTTTCCTGTGTGCTGGCTTGCCAGGTGACTGCAGCAAGCATGACTTCCCCAGTTTTCAGTTCCTGCAGTGCAGGGCAGAGAGCAGCACCCCAGGGCCAGCCGCTGCAGTGGAACCCCTATAGAGAAACACCTTCCTGTGAGCAGCTTGTCCATGGCACCCTAGAGGGCAGATTTCCCTAAAATTCCGGAGAATAGATTTCCAGCAAATTATGCCAACATGGCACCAGAGCTACTTTCTTTAGTGCCCTCTCTAACAAGGTCTGGTTCTCCTTCCTACCAAGGCTCTTCTTTCGGTGGCTGTTACTTTTTTTTTGGAGACAGAGTCTTTACTCTGTCACCCGGGCTGGAGTGCAGTAGTACAATCTTCACTCACTGCAATCTCCACCTCCCAGGTTCAAGCGATTCTCCTGCCTCAACCTCCCAAGTAGCTGGGATTACAGACATGCGCCACCACACCCAGCTAATTTTGGTATGTTTAGTAGAGACGAGGTTTCACCATGTTGACTAGGCTGGTCTTGAACTCCTGACCTCGGGTAATCCACCCGCCTCGACCTCCCAAAGTGCTAGGATTACAGGCATGAGCCACTGCACCCGGCCAGCTGTTCTTTTATCTCTTCTTAGAGTTCCCTCTTTACTTCTTACTAGCCAATCCTTTGTTTATATTTTATATATTTAATTATATTTATTTATTAAATTGTTTATGTGTATCTATATATTGTATTTTTGTTATATATTTTCTACAGCCCTTTTTAAAGCATGAACGTTTTATATTTTATCTATTTAAGTAGATTTAAATAAATCTACTTAAAATATATTTTACACATGTATATATAATTTATTATCTGTTTATTATTAAATTTACATAAAGACTATTTTTATATTTTTAAAAATAATTACATTTATTTTATAGAAAGATTTTATATACTTCTTTTTGTTGTTGTTTGGTTTTTTGACACAGAGTCTCCCTCTTGTCACTCAGGCTGGAGTGTGTTGGCACAATCTCAGCTCACTGCAACCTCTACCTCTCGGGCTCAAGTGATTCTCATGTCTCAGCCCCCTGAGTAGCTGGGATTACAGGTGTGCACCACCACACATGACTAATTTTTGTGTTTTAAGTAGAGATGGGGTTTTGCCATGTTGGCCAGGCTGGCCTCAAACTCCTGACCTCAAGTGATCCACTCACCTCGGCCTCCCAAAGTGCTGGAATTACCGGCATGAGCCACCATACCCGGCCTATATAATTCTTTATATTAAACTTCCAGTTCACATTATTATTGACTGGCTTTTCTCTCCTGATTGGACCCAGACTAATATACCTATTTGGTGAATTATCCAACTGAATTATAGAAGATGGATTTGGGCAACTGTATGGCTGTCCTTTCCTTTAAAAAAATAAAAATAAATAAAATAAAAAAACTTTTGCCACCTTTTACTTCTCAGATTCAATGCACATACCATTTGCTCATAGAATAAAAACGTTTTTGCCAGTCACAAGTGCCACAGACTACAGTCCTGAAATTTTACCTTACCATACTTGTTCTACATCAGTCAATGGGTTTCCTAAGGATACGCTGGATACCCTCAATTTGAGGGTACAGTTTCTCAGTCAGAAAGAGAGGCTTGGTTTTTTTGAGTCCAGGATTTCAAGATAATTTTAAAATATGGCTTGCTTTTTAGACATGATCTACCATCTGTTTGTCTGAAGGTTATATTGAAGGACTTTCTTAAAACCTCAAAGTTACTATGATGGAATAATCTAACAAAAATAATTTCCAACAGTGCTACAGCCACTGCAGTGCACTTCACAGACTCAAGTCTAATAATGTGCTTATCTTATTGAATGGAAATTTGGCCTTCTACCTAGTGGCCTGTAAATTTACAATAATAACTAATATTTACTCAGCACCTATCATGGACTAGGTACTGTGTCGAATGCTGTAGGAAAATTTTCTAAAACTTGGGGTCTGGCGTGGTGGCTTACGCCTGTAATCCCAGCACTTTGGGAGGCCAAGGCAGGCAGATCACTTGAGGTGAGGAGTTCAAGACAAGCCTGACCAACAGGAGAAACCCCATCTCTACTAAAAATACAAAAAAAGAAAAGTAGCTGCGTGTGGTGGTGGGCACCTGTAATCCCAGGTACTCAGAAGGCTGAGGCAGGAGAATCTCTTGAACCCAGGAGGCAGAGGTTGCAGTGAGCTGAGATGGTGCCACGGTACTTCAGCCTGGGTGACAGAGCAAGACTCCATCACACACACACACAAAAAAAAAATTCTAAAACTTGGAAATAAGCAAAAGAGGTCCTTTCAGGATTATCTGAGCATTGTCTAACCAACTCACCCAATGGTTATCAAATTCTTCATAAGTGTATACCTTTCACTTGAAGTTTTCTCTTAATTAGCATATTTTAAATCTCATAAACGTAGATATTAACTTGCAGAAGCTGACAGCCTGGGTTTCTCAACCTCAGTACTGTTGGCTGGATAGTTCTTTTGTGGGAGGCTGTCCTGTGCATCAAAGGATGTTTAGTATCATCCTTGTTCTCTATCAACTACTACCACTAGATGCTAGTAGCACTCACCTCCCCCAACTCCAACACAGTTGTGACAATCAAAAATACCTTCGAACATTGCCAAGTGTCCCCTGGAGGGCAAAATCATCCCCACTTGAGAACTGCTGATTGTGATACAAATTAAATTTGTCCACTAGAGATGCAAATGATTTTTTTGGTAGAAAATATCATTCTAAAAGTTACTGTTTTATTGCTCTATACCTTAACCAGTTTTATATCAAATTAACGATCTTATTCAAACACTCTTCTTTCCGCCACCACGGATACTTTGCTGTCTCCAATTATCTTTGAACAAGATTTACCATCTTGCCAGGTTAAATGAATGAATCTTTGAGTCATGTTCTCTTTATATTGGTATGAGAGTCATATTTTCAACTTTTGAAAAGTATATTTTGACAATACTTTACGTACATTATTTAACCATTATAACAACCATATAAACATGAGGCTTTGAGTGGTAAAGTAACTACCCAAAGTCTCATGGCTTACAAGTTTTAGAGCCAGATTTGGAACCCAAGTTTGCATAGCCCAAATAGTGAGTTCTTAACCACCCTGCTATACTGTATTATGAAGCTAGCCCCAAAACTCTATGACCCAGCCTGCGACTATCATGCATGTAGCTTGCAATTACACCTCTGTCATCTTGGCTGCCCACACTATATTCTATGAAGAGGCTTCATAGTTCAGAATCCAAGAACCAATCAGAGAAGCCCTTTAACTTTGGAACATGCTGTGCTCACTTAATTGTATTATCACAGGAGGCTGATTGAGGAGTACCTGGAATCTGTAGCTAGTCAATTCAAGACACTCCTTGAACTTATCTCCACGAGTGAGTTGCTGCTTTCTCCAGGCAAAAGAGAGACCCAGCAGGAACTCTGCAGAGGCTCACTTATTCTGATACTGACTTTTTTGTCCCTCTTCCTATTTTACAAAAGGTGGATGGATAGAGTAGTGTAAAGCACAAAGGCATCAAAGATTGATGATATCAGTACTTAAAGATATTTCGTTTAGGTCTATGCTGATCTTCATGTCTTCTCTATCTGAGTTTTTTTTTTTTTTTTTTTTGAGACAGTGTCACTCTGTTGCCCAGGCTGGAGTGCAATGGCCCAATCTCAGCTCACTGCAACCTCTGACTCCTGGGTTCAAGCGATTCTTGTGCCTAAGTAGCTGGGACTATAGGCTTATGCCACCACTCCCGGCTAACTTTTGTGTTTTTAGTAGAGATGGGGTTTTGCCATGTTGGCCAGGCTGGTCTTGAAGTACCGGCCTCGAGTGATCTACCCGCCTCAGCCTCCCAAAGTTCTAGGATTACAGGCGTAAGCCACCACACCCGGCCTGTGAATGCTTATTAGACTTTCTACTTAAACAGCCATTTACCTGAGTCTTGAAGTTCTGAGGAGGTAACTCAGATTATACTTCAAGTAGCTGTATCTCAAGTTATACCTCAAATAGCTATAACCTGTACAGTGCTTATCACATACCATTCTAAGCACCCTACATAGATCTCATTTAATACTCATAAAATTCTATTAGGATTGTGCCACTGCACTCCAGCCTGAGTGACAGAGCGAGACTCCATCTCAAAACAAAACAAAACAAATAAAACAAAAACTCTATTAGGAGATACTGTTATTTTTCAGATGAGGAAAATGAGGCACAAAGATGTTAAGTAACTTGACCAAGGCCACATAAGTATTGGCAGAGCCAAATTCAAATTTGACTTCAGAGTCCATGCTCTTAACCACTGGACTCTACCGGTGGAAGTGATTGTCTACCAGATTGGCAGGAGTACAATGAGAGGGTCAGAAGAAGAAGATTTTGTCGTGAGTGAAAGCCAACTATGGGGTTGGTGGTGTGGGTAGTAAGAAGAATTTACCAAGACAGTTGTAGATAAAGAAAGGTAAATGTATTAGAGAAAGTATGAAAGTATGTTGCAAGGAAGTAATGGGCAAGTCAGCAAGAGAGGAGCTGACTGCAAGGAGACAAAGACTTGCTGGGGATTTTATAGGACAGCGCTTGTGCTGGAGAGAGCTACGTGCAGTACTGGTAATGCCAAGGCTGCAGTGAGCTAACTTGCATTTTTCTATCATCCCAGGGTCTGGTGATAGCTGGGCACAGGAAGATTGTGAGTTATTTGCATAGGAGGGCTATGTGTCCTGGACTGCGAAGAAAGGCAGACTTAGACCTTATCTGTTTTTTCCTTTTGCTTTCCTCTGCTCCCACTAGCTTGACTCCTTTTCCCTAATTAGGGCTCCGCAGACTTCACTGAGGATATGACTGGCTGAGTGTTTGGGAGTCCCAGATAGGTGGAGCATGTAAGACGATGGCTCTTCCAGACCTCTATTTTTATGTGGTCCTTACTGTCCTGCAGAGGTGCTGCAAGGCTCAGAAGAGAAGGTCCCCTGTTCTCGCCTATGATCACCCTGATAATACTAGATTTAGGACGTGTTGTTCAGCTGGTCTACAGCTGCTAGAAATAGCAGATTCATTTGGTGGGAAAGTTGACATCTATATTGGATAATCTCAGGTATTATTATTATTAATCTTTTTTTTTTTTGAGTTGGAGTTTCACTCTGTTGCCCAGGCTGGAGTGAAGTGGTGTGATCTCAGCTCACTGCAACCTCCACCTCCCAGGCTCAAGAGATTTTTGTGCCTCAGCCTCCCGAGTAGCTGGGGACTACAGGTACTTGCCACCACCCCCAGCTAATTTTGTATTTTTAGTAGGGATGGGGTTTCACCATGTCGGCCAGGCTGGTCTCAAACTCCTAACCTCAACTGATTCACCCACCTTGGCCTCCCAAAATGCTGGCATTACAGGTGTGAGCCACCATGCCCAGCTATTACTATTATTGCTTTTAGTAAGCCACAAACCATGTGAAGAAGTAATGTTTACTTCTTGCAGTTGGAAACTTTGACTCAAATCACATTTAAGCATATTTGTAAGGTAAAAGAGTGATTAAAAAGCTTGAGACATTAGTAATAGAGATGATATATGCTGCCTGAAAATGATTTATTTCACCCAAATACCTATAGGAATACAAAGTGCTTTCCACCATTCATGCCACCTATTCTACTATATCCATGAAAGGTAGGGCAACCCTGAGAAGTGTTACTATACTTGACAACAAAGGAAAATGAAGCACCAACATGTTATTTGAGGCCACTCAAGTAGTCAGTGTTAGAGCTAGACTTGTTGGGTTTATTTCAGTATAAACTGTGAACTACTTATCCTTTCCAATCCAATATACTTCCTTCTGTCTCTCTCTTTTTTTTTTTTTCTTTCCAATAGGCTTGCAATAAAGCAGTCACCAAAACAAAAGGAAAAAAAAAATTGTTTAGGGCATAATAAGTGTGGACCTGTCTGGAGGCCAAAGCAATTCCATCTTCAATGCCTAATCCACCACGTTGGCTTCTGATTAACCCCAGGTCTGAGAAGGCCTCTAAGATTTTCAGTTTATCTACTGTCCCTACGTAAGACCAGGTACGTACTATAAATCCTGCCCTTAGATTGAACAATCTTGGTGTTATCATACTTCAATTGTACTACATGTCCCTTCTGAACCACTCTTTCCCTAGGGAATATGAGCTGTGGATCTGGAGAGTAACTGCCCAGGGATCCACCATCTTGTTTTGCCACAGCCCAAGACACAGACAAGGCTTCTGTTCCTAAGTCCTTATTAAATACTTTTTTCTTTTTTCTTTTTTTTTTTTTTTTGAGATGAATTTTGCTCTTGTTGCCCAGACTGGAGTGCAATGATGCGATCTCGGCTCACTGCAACCTCTGCCTCTGGGTTCAAGCAATTCTACTGCCTCAGCCTCCTGAGTAGCTGGGATTACAGGCTCCCTCCACCACGCCCAGCTAATTTTCTGTATTTTCAGTTGAAACGAGGTTTCACCATCTTGACCAGGCTGGCCTTGAACTCCTGACCTCAGGTGATCCACCCACCTCAGCCTCCCAAAGTGCTGGGATTACAGGCGTCAGCCATGGCGCCCGGCCTAGATGTTTTTTTTCTAAGAAACGAAATTCGTCAGGCTATTCCTTTGGCCTCTCAGCTTCCTTGGACTTTGGCGGCAAACTTGCATAGACGTGCCCACCATGGAACGGTCTACGTTTTTAGGGTCCTCTGTCTTTTGGGGAGTCCTTTGCCGCCAGAAGAGGAAGAGGAAGTCAGGGATGGAGCGTAAGGGAAGTGACAGCAATGACTGGTCATGCTGAAAAATGAAGCAGCTGAGTTGAAAGCACATGGAACTGGGAAAGCTGGGTTCTCAGTCCGACTCTGATGCTTGGCCATGAGCATGTCATTTAACCTCCCCAAGCCTAAGGAAGCTGAGCCTCCCTCAAAATTAAAATTATTGATTTCTACCTCTTGGTATTTTATTTAAAGAGTTCATGAATATAAAGCATCTAGCCAAGTGTCTGGTACCTGGTGGGTGTTCACTATTATTAGCTCCATCTTTCAATCCCAACTCTCCTCATTCCATCCTACAAACCTAAGATTTGTTCTTAAATTCAAATAACAAGTTATGAAATCACCTGAGAAACTCTAAAGGATTCTGCAAATATTAAAGATGTTAAAGATTAAAAGACAGAGCTAAGCCTATCACCACGGCTAAAGGCAGTCATCCATAACCCTTGGAGTTTTAAAAATTATTATTCTTTCCTCTTCAAGGCTTCCCTTGATATTCATTTTAATTATTTAATAATTTTCACCTTATTAAAAAACAAATGGGTACAGTGGAACATGTGGTATATTTTCTTTTAGTACCTAAAACTCCATATAAGGGTGGCCCTCAGCCTTTGCAACATTAGATCATCCAACCTATGCATACCACCCACCTTTTCCTATGCAAGGACTCCTGAATCCCAGCTGTAAAATTGGATCGAGCTGCTCTGCCTTGCTCTCTTGGATTGCTTGCTCTGGGAAAAACCAGCCAACCCATTGTGAGAATACTCAAGCTATTCTGTGCAAAAACCCATATGGCAAAACAGCAGGACCACCTGCCAACAGCTAGCACCAGCTTGCCAGCCATGTGACAGGCACCATCTCAAAAGTAGGTCCTCCAACGCCAGTCAAGCCTTCAGATGACTGAAGCTCAGCTGACACCTTGATTTCAACTTTGTGAGAGACCCAGAGGTAGAATCGCCAGCTAAGTCACTCCCAAACTCCTTCTGTACTGCTCTTAGAACTTTCCTAAAGTCCTAAATTATTTCACAAAGTGATGGAAAAGAGAGCAGGAAAAAAAAAAAGCGTATCCCATTGCATCAAATTCTAATCAACTATATAGGCTTAGAGGAAAGAGAGAGAGAGTAAGAAAGAGAGACAGATAGAGGGGCGGGGAGCATTGGAGAGAATATGAATGCATACCTAGCAGGTACATGAGATGAGAAGTGAATTTACAAGACAAACCATCAGCTCCCCCAAATGCACATATAGTATGAACATCCCACTGTGCTAAATGTGGTTTGACTCTTGAGAGAATGTGATGCCTAATTGCAAGTCAGTTACTTTATCTGGCACTCAACTGAAGAAACAGTGGTCTGTTCCAGCACGACAGTAAAAAATGATTGTGCTAATTTATTGGATGTGGCAGAGAAGCCCTCACAATTTCCATCGGCCCTTTCTTCTTTAGCAATAGAAACCCTAGTTTTCAGATTAGAACATTGTCACCCTGCAAAAAGAAATTTCAGTATTTCTCTATGTGTTTGGAAAAGAGTATAATGTAATAATAAAATGCAGAACTTTGGTGTCCATCATTTAGAACAGAATCAAATCTAGCTGTGTGATTTCAAGAAGCTAAGTCTTGAGACTTAGTCACCTTGTCTGTAAAACAGAGATAATGACAAACTTGCTTTATAAAGTTGCTTTGAAGATTAGACTTTTTAACCTACGCTTTACATTTATCACAGTAATCTGGCACAGGACACATGGCCTTTATATATTAGTTATTATTATCTAAAGATGTAAACAAAAAGTCTAAAGTTTGTAGCAGTGGAACGCTAAGGGTAAGACATTCAAGTACAGCTGTTGGCTTATAGTTCTTCGGATATTGAGCTAATGTGTGCTCCAGTAATCCAGTAATCAATAGTTTTGAAATTGTGAGCTGGTACTCAGCTTTCTTTTTTCATTGTAGACTTTACTTCTTTGCTCACTCTTACATTCTCTTTTTTTTTTTTTTTTTTTTTGAGACGGAGTCTCGCTCTGTCTCCCAGGCTGGAGTGCAGTGGTGCGATCTCCACTCACTGCAAGCTCCACCTCCCGGGTTCACGCCATTCTCCTGCCTCAGCCTCCGTGTGGCTGGGACTACAGGCGCTGCCACTGCGCCCGGCTAATTTTTTTGTATTTTTTAGTAGAGACGGGTTTCACGTGTTAGTCAGATGGGTCTCGATCTCCTGACCTCGGTGATCCGCCCATCTCGGCCTCCCAAAGATGCTGGGATTACAGGCGTGAGCCACCGGCGCACCGGCCACTCTTACATTCTCTACATTCTATCCACCAAATCATCTAATCACTCTAGTTTCCTAAAATGAAGAATCGTATCCTTCTGATTTAGTGCCCGGGAGAAGGGAAACTAGGAAAGAAAGATGAATATCTTTGTCTGAGTGCCAATGCCAGCCCCGTCTCCCAGTCTAGAGACATCTTTACCTGATGGACTTTTCATCTTTCATTTTTCTCTCTCTTTTCTTCCTTCTACTATATATAATTGATATCGCTATCAAATAGTTTAATTACTAAAATTAGGTAGATATATGTGGTGGGGGGGGGCAGGCTGTCACTCTGTCGCCCAGGGCTGGAGTGCAGTGGGTGTGAATCTCAGCTCTCTGCAACCTCCAGCTACACAGGTTCAAGCGATTCTCCTGCCTCAGCCTCCCCTAGGTAGCCGGGATTACAGATAAGCACCGCCACGCCTGCGAATTTTTGTATTTTTAGTAGAGATGGGGATTCACCCAAGTTGACCAACTGGTCTTTGAACTCCTGACCTAAGCTGATCTACTCACCTCAGCCTCCCAAAGTGCTGGGATTACAGGCGTGAAACCACTCACTCGACCCACCGTAGATAGATGACACTGTTTTTTTTTTGTTTTTTTTTTGGTTTTTTTTTGAGACAAGAGTCTTGCTCTGTTTGCCAGGGCTGGAGTGCAGTAGCACGATCCCAGCACACTGCAACCTCCTCCTCTTGGGGTTCAAGTGTCTTTTCTTCAAAAATATTATCTGGATTTTTGCTTTAATCTCTTTCCCTTTGGCTATTATTGTCTAGCCTAAACCTTTATCATGCCATTTCAGGATTCTTTAAACAATTTTCTCATCTACTGATGACAGTTAATCCCCTGGCTCTTGTCTAATGAATCATTCCATAATACTACTTTCATCATAGGGATTCTTAGTGCTTTAGAATCTTAAAAAACAATCTCCATTGCTTAGTGATTTATCCAAACTTTTTGGTCTGACTTGTAAAGTTCCTAATAGTTTTATACCACCTGAATTATTGAATATGATTTCTCCTGCTTCTTCACATGGTTTATAATCAGACAGGTCTTTGCTTTCCTTTCCTCCTTGGCTCATAATTGTTATTCTTCCACTACACCAAAGATGGTTGTATTTTGCTGTGCAGAATCAGTTTTACCTTTTGGGTAATATTTCTCAGAATTTTGGGGGGAACCGTCAGACCCTTACTTAGAGTCCATAAATTTGGAAATGCTGACTCCGCAGCCAGCTCTAGGGTAGCCATGTGACCCAACCCTGGCCAATCAGAGCACCTCAGCCCTTGGTTATGCACTTGAGTCAGTGAAGGGCACAAGATCCAACTTGGTCCAATTTGGCCCTACCTAGAGCTTCTGTTAGAATTTTTAGAAAAGAACAGTGTTTGGGAAAGCCAAGATATAGCAAGGGACAAGTTCCCTGATGATGGATATATTTGAGGCCTCTAGGATTACCTATGCCTGATCTTTTTTAGTTACAAAACAATAATCCTTTTGCCTTTTTGGCTTAAACCAACTTGAATTGGTTGTTGCAAGGGAGTACTCCTACCGGCCGGGCGCGTGGCTCACCGCCTGTAATCCTAGCACTTTGGGAGGCCGAGGCGGCGCGATCACGAGGTCAGGAGATCGGAGACCATCCTGGCTAACATGGTGAAACCCTGTCTTACTAAAAATTGCAAAAAATTAGCCGGCGAGGGCGAGCGGGCGCGCCTGTAGTCCCAGCTACTCGGGAGGCTGAGGCAGGAGAATGGCGTGAACCGGGAGGCGGAGCTTGCAGTGAAGCCGAGATCGCGCCATGCACACTCCAGCGCTGGGCGACTAAGCCAGACTCTGTCTCAAAAAAAAAAAAAAAAAAAAAAAAAGGAAAAAAGAAAAAAAGGAGTCTCCTTACCTCTTTGCTGCTTTGAGTTAAAGTTTCAACTCTTCGAGATCTAGCTGTCACGCCACTTTCAAACTGTTCTTTCCTTTCTTTAATTCCCATTACATCCTGCTTAACCCATACTGTTTTAACAGTAAATTGTCTCAACTGTTTAACATTTTCCAGTTTTGCTTTCCCAATGGGCCATAAGTTTACTGAGGGCTTGGCCCATGAATTACATTTCTCTTAGTTCTCAACACTTAAGAATGTTTCATACTTGAGATGCAGATTGATAAATTCTTAAGATAAGTTATCAGCAGTAAGAATCTCAAAAACAAATGAAAACTGGGCAAATTATTGCTAATCAGGACCTAGATAATTAGGTAATTCTGTTCCATCTTCCTGATTTCAAAAGAAACACATCAGGAGCGAAGGGAAAAATGGTATCTGTTGGGCCTTTGGTGGGGCCCAGTAACAACGGCTTGTTTTAAAATGTAGATGTTATTATTTAGGTATGGTGAGGCCAGCAGATGATGAGATGACTGCCACTGAAGAGATGGGTTGTGACTCACAGTTCCCAAGAGGGAGGGGGCACAACATGCCACACAGGGCCACATGGGGAAGCACCAGTGTTGGTCAGGAGGCAGAAGAAGCAAGAGGAAACCACGGGCATGAGCCTTTATCATCGTTTCTACAGGACAGAGAAGGGGAGGGGAGGGCAAGGGAGGAGAGGGAAGGGGAGGGGAGGGCAAGGGAGGAGAGGGAAGGGAAGGGGAAGAGAGGGAAGCGGAAGGGAAGGGAGGGAAGAGGAGGGAAAGGGAGGGGAAGGGAGGGGAGGAGAGGGGAAGGGAGGGGCAAGGCAAGGAAGGAGCAAGGCAAGAAAAAAGGCAAGGCAAGGCAGATGTAGGCTTGGTTAGTTTTAATAATTTCAGCTGTCTCTGGGGTGCAGGGACTATCCTGAGTTGCGTGGTACCTGGCCCTAGGTTGATTAGGGCAGGGGAAAGTTGGCTTGTATATAAAAGTTCGATAAAGGAGGTGGTTGGGAGATATGAGTTCTGCACTGTTCAGTTTGCAAATGAAAGGCACAGAGGAGTTCTTGAATATCTCTAGGAACTAGCTAGTCCTGGGAGAGTCAATCTCTCCCTGGACAGTAAGGCTGCAGATGCCAGGATATCAAGAATACCGAATGTAAGAAGGTATCTTTATACACTCCCTTCTTTCCCACTGGGCTCAGAAAAGATTAAACAATAAGACAAAGAACAAACTGATGGTGGCCAAAATGTCTGCTTAATCATAGGCAATAAAGCTAAGCTGGAAGAAATATGTTAATGTGAGAGTAAAAGGAGCCTCCTAACTCTATCCAGAAATAGTCAGACTTACATCATGATAGGCAGCACTAAATGAGGACAAGTAGGAAGAATTTTATGGAATGAGTAACAGAGAAGAAATTGCGCTTGATGTAAGCAAATGTAATCCTAGGAGGAAAAAATAAGGTCAGGGGCTGAGCCAAGCAAGCCCAGTTTATTCTTTCCAGATGTACCAATCAGACGACTTGCTCTACCTTTCCCAAACAGGATGAGTAAAGAATAGAAGACAAGGGCAGTTGCTTGATTGAACTCCCTTTCTGTGGATAGAAACCTCAAACATGAGAAAGAAACATCACTACCCCCCAACACACACACACCAGGAAACATTGACTTTTCTAGAGATTTTAGGAAGATAAAATTCTGACACATTCCTAGTTATGGTTCCAGCTTCAACGTTTTACATTTTAAATCCAGAGTTTGAGCTAATTGACGTTCAGAAGAGAAATGATTCAACCCACATAGGGGTCCACAGGTGGGTTCCTACACTATAAAATTTAGGGTGAACTTTCGGACTCTCTGGTATGTGGGAAATATCCTGCTGTGGCTGTTGGTTTTATACTTTCCCTATTTAGACTTTTTTGAAAGAGCCAGGGGAAGGGCCAATAGGCCCAGACACTGGGGAACTATCATCTGGCAGATATGTTAGTAATGAATGACCCAGACATGATGTTTGAGGCCTAGAAAGGCCTCAAGGTGGTATGGGAAAACAGGAGAAAGTCATTTACAGTAGCATTCATGTTTACTGTCAACATTTATTCATCTGTGTTAGGGTCAGCAAATTATGTCCTATTGGCCAAATTCAACCAGTCACCTGTTTTGTTTTGTTTTTTAAGTTCTATTAGCCGGGCACTATGACTCATGCCTGTAATTCCAGCACTTTGGGAGGCAAAGGCGAGCAGATCACTTGAGTCCAGGAGTTCAAGACCAGCCTTGGCAACCTGGCAAAACCCCGTCTTTATAAAAAATATGCAAAATTAGCTGGGCATGGTGGTGTATGCCTGTGGTCCCTGCTACTTACGAGGTTGAGTGGGAGGATTGCCTGGGCCTGGGAGGTTGAGGCTGCAGTAAGCCAGTATCATGCCATTGTACTCCAGCCTGGGTAACACAGTGAGACCCTATCAAAAAAAAAAAAAAAAGTTTTGTTGAAACGCAGTCATATCACTCCTTTTTGTGTTCTCTGTGATTGTCTGCATGCTATAACAGCAGAGTTGAGTAGTTGTAAGAGGTCTCATGGCCTGCAAAATTGAAAATGTTTATGCACTGATTCTCTGTAGAACAGTGGTCACCAAGTTTTTGGCATCAGGGACTCGTTTCATGAAAGACAATTTTCCCCACAGACCCCGGGTTGCAGGGGGATGGTTTTGGGATGATTCAAGTGCATTACATTTATTGTGCACTTTATTTCTATTATTATTACATTGTAATATATAATGAAATAATTATACAGCTCACCATAATGTAGAATCAATGGGACTCCTGAGCTTGTTTTCCTGCAACTAGACGGCCCCATCTGGGGGTGATGGGAGACAGTGGCAGATCATCAGGAATTAGATTCTCATAACGAGCACACAACTTAGATCCCTCGCATGCGCAATACGCAATAAGGTCCATGCTCCTATGAGAATGTAATGCCAAAGCTGATCTGAGAGGAGGTGGAGCTCAGGAGGCAATGTGAACGATGAGAAGTGGCTGTAAATTCAGATGAAGCTTCACTTGCTTGCCTACCACTCACCTCCTGTGTGGCCTGTTTCCTAACAGGTCACCAAATGATACTGGTCCATGGCCTGGGGGTTGGGGACCCCTGCTATAGAAGTTCGTCAATGCCTGCTCTATACATGTTCATTATATGTTTACAGGTTGCCCTCACTGTGCAAGGCACAGTGCTGACCAAGGACAACCTATGCCTTAAATGAGTTCACTTTCTACTGGGGAACCAGATATTTTAGCAGTGTGAGAAACTTAGTAACTGAGGAGTGACTCTTTGGGGGATGATAAGGTAAGGGGTTGAGAGGGAAGTCATGGGATTGACTGGAAAGATGGCCCGTGGCCCACATGGGAAGGGCGTTATATGTTATGTCAGGGAACTTAAGACTCTGCCCAATAAACAGTGGAACACCATGGAGGGATTTGAATCAGAAGAGTAACATAATCAATTCACATTGGACAAAAAAGTTATTTATTGAAAAAAGAATAATCTGGAGTCACTCTATATCTAGTGGCACTGGAGGGAAGTCTGGAGGCTGGCAGATTAGTTAAAAAGTGTTGGCCCAATGACTGGACTATACTAAGCCCTGACCCAAATAATTTTTATGCAATGTATTGATTAGCAAGTAAAGCACACACCAGCATTTCATTGGGCATAGAGCATAGAACACAAAAAAGTAAACCAGGCCGGGCGCTGTGGCTCGAGCCTGTAATCCCAGCACTTTGGGAGGCCGAGACTGGCGGATCACAAGGTCAAGAGATCGAGACTATCCTGGCTAACAAGGTGAAACCCCATCTCTACTAAAAAAAATACAAAAAAACTAGCCGGGCGAGGTGGCAGTCGCCTGTAGTCCCAGGTACTCGGGAGGCTGAGGCAGGAGAATGGTGTAAACCCAGGAGGTGGAGCTTGCAGTGAGCTGAGATCACGTCACTGCACTGCAGCCTGGGCAACAACGCGAGACTCCGTCTCAAAAAAAAAAAAAAAAAAGTAAACCAAAGCCAAACATTAATTAAATATACATATTTAGTTAATTATGCTTATAGTGTGGGTATATATTAAATCAGAGAGAATTCATTCCTTGAAGAAGATTTAGTTGGTTTTTTTTTCTGTTTAAACACGAAGATAAAGTTATTTTCACTTGTCTTCTTAGAAGCAAACTCTCCCATCTCTACCCCACTGTTTGCCTTTCTTCTTTCATGCTTTAATTTTTTATTAAAGACAGGGTCTCTCTCTGTTGCCCAGGTTGGAGTACAGTGGTACAATCATAGCTCACTGCACCCTTGAACTCTTGGGCTCAGGTAATCCTCCTGCCTCAAGCCTCCCGAGTAGTTAGGGCTAATTTTTCAATTTCTTGCATGTTGCCCAGGCTGGTCTCAAACTGTTGACCCCAAGCAATCCTCCCACCTCAGACTTCCAAAGTGCTAGGATTACAGGTGTGAGACACTGTGCCCAACCCACCCTTCTTCTTGATAAGAGATGAGAGAGATTTGATTGGATTAGGTATCAGGTACCATGTGTTTCAGAACCATGAAGATGATATTTAGTCTAAGCCAGATAAGGTAATTCTATATTTTTTGTTTATTATTTAGAACGTGATACACTTCTGGGAAATCTGCTGGGGGCCTTCCAAGAAAAGTATCCCTACAGAAGAAGAGACATATGGAGGAGGAAACACACCTTCTTCTTTGCTGGATTTGCTGTATCTGGGTGTGATGCCTGGAACTGTGGCAACCATGTTTTGATCATGGGAGACTAAACTAACATGCTAAAAATACCAGAGCAAAAGCCTGAGAAAAACTGGGTCCTTGATGGTACTGATGACCCAGCCTAGGGTTATTACAGCTTGAAACTTCATTTTATTTTACATAGTAAATGTCTATATTGTTTAAGCTGGTTTTAGTTGGGTATTCTGTTCATATTGCTTAGAGCATCCTGACATAGGTTCTCAGAGAAAACAATACATATGAGGGTTCTTTTTTGTTTGTTTGTTTTTGACAAAGTCTCACTCTATTGGCCAAGTTGTAGTGCAGTGGTGCAATCTTGGCTCACTGCAACCTCCACCTCCAGGGTTCAAGCGATTCTCCTGCCTCAGCCTCCCAAGTGGCTGGGATTACAGGCCAGCGCCACCATGCCTGGCTAATTTTTGTATTTTTAGTAGAGACAATGTTTCACTATGTTGGCCAGGCTGGTCTTGAACTTCTGACCTCAGGTGATATGCCTGCCTTGGCCTTCCAAAGTGCTGGGATTACAGGCATGAGCCACCATGCCTGGCCATATATGAGGTTTTAATCTATCATATATGGACTGAGATGTATATGTTCTGAGATGTATACGGACTGAGATGTATATGTTCTGCTGGAGCAGTGCTTTTCAAAACTTTAACGTGCCTGTGAATCACCTCAGGATCTTGTTTAAATGCCGATTCAGATTCAGTAGGGGAGGTGTGAGATACTGCATTCCTAAGAGTATCCCAGGAGATATAAATGAGCTGGTGCAGGGTTCATACTTTGAAGTAGCAAAGGTGGACTGCAGGTATCACTCATTAAGCATTGGGTAGAGAGGAACCTTCCAGAGACTGAAAGGATTTTAAATAGAGAGATAGGAGTCATGATAGGGTGTTAGAGTGATTCTGCTAATTCAAATAGGATAGCCCACTCTTACCTTTTATTAATAATTTCAGAAAAGGTCAGGTCCAGATGATAAAACCAGGCCAAGATCTTGGAGACTGGCTTTGCAGTGAAGAAGGAAGTAGAAAGTGCCTTTCTTACTTGTATGAGGGCCTCAGACAAAACACAAATCTGTGCTTCTGGCAGAGCTTTCAGATGAATTTTAGAGGGCTTTTGCCCTGGACATCCTGTGGTACATCTTTGCCACTAAAAGTAATTTAAAAAAACAAAAATAATCTGTAAGATAAACATAAGGAAGTCCAACCAAATTCTGATATTTTCCCCCATGATTATTATTTTGATGCTTCTTGGGGAAGTAAATATATAATTCAGCCGAGCACAGTGGCTCACACCTTTAATCTCAGCATTTTGGGAGGCTAAGGTAGGAGGTTCACTTGAGTCCAGGAATTGGAGACCAGCCTGGGCAACATAGTGAGACCTCGCCTCTACAAAAAATAAACAAAATTAGCAGGGCATCGTGTTGCATGCCTGTGGTCCCAGCTACTTGAGAGACTGAGGATGGAGGATGGCTTGAACAAAGGAGGTCAAGGGTGCAGTGAGCCATATTCATGCCACTGCACTCCAGGCTGGGCAACAGAGCAAGACCTGGTCTCAAATACATACATACATACATGCCCAAAATGTTTTATTTGGGTGCAGTTGCTTGGCTAATACCCTAAGCATGCACGGGAAAGCATTGAATAATGTCCGTTCAGAGTATTCTTTTAACTTCAAATGTTCCCCAACAACAAAAAGATGTAAAGGTTATGGGATGTAAAGATATCTTTGTAGGGACCACTGTAGGACCCCTAGAGAGACTTATTCCTGGCAGTACATACCCTATGATGTTTCTCTGTGAACTAACTTAGCACTAATCAGTTACATAAGATCCATTTCACTTCACTTTTTAACCATCCCCTCGAAAATTAACAAAAATAATAGAATTTTCATTCCAAGTTTGAGAATAACCACTGAGCGCGTTAAAACTACGTGCATACAAAAACTGCAACTGGATTCTGGTTCCTGTGATTAAGAAAGAATATAAAAATTCACTAAAGGTGTTCTATGAGTCACCAGGAGTAATAAGACAAAAAACAATTTAAATATTGTATGAAATATTTAAATAGAAAAACTCACTAAAGGCACAAGGTGACTATTTACAGGAATCATGTCCCTAGCTCCAGAGTGGAGAGCATTCTTATTATTTTAAGAGCAAATTATAATATCCTTCGTGTGGATCCAGGGACAAGAACAAAGAATACAAAGGCAAAACTAGCTAGTTCTCAGTCAAAGACAGTTTTGCATAAAGAACAGAATTAATAGAGGAATCCCAGGAGTAAAAATAATAAATCCTAGAATGATGATGAGAATTGTAAGGGAGCCCTTGTATTAAGTGAAAAAAGCCCCTACTTGCCTTTGCCTTTTTCCTTGAGGTTCTAGATCAACAGCAGTTTGATTCATTGTTGATATATAAACTAGATTTTTAACATAAAGCGTAAGAAATTGTTTATTTTCTCTGTAAACAGACTCCATGGGCAATCTAGTCTTTCAGTTTTGGTCAGCAAAATATGTATTTTCTTACCCAACTAAAATGCTAAATCACTACAGACAACAATTATTTACAAATTAATAAGATTTCCAGAAGTAAAACAACTTAATGAAACTTATTTAAAGATAGACAAGATCAACTTTAGCAGAGGCAGTAGATCCAGTAATCATTTCTTGGGCTTGCTTTCAAATTGAGGCTTTGCTTATTAATCAAATGACTTTGAGCAAGGTACTTAATTATAGTGTGTTCATTGGCTTTTTAAAAAGTGTGTGTCGGGGGCTCCCAGCTATTCCAACCCAGGCAACACAACAAGTCCCGGTTTAAAAACAAACAAACAAAAAAACCAAAAAAGATGATACCATTGTATTAAGTTATATGCAATGATACATTACAGGGTTTAGTGCAGTGTCTGGCACTTGTAAATTCATTTATTCATTTCAAAAAGTGGTTATAGAAAAATCTCACTTTGCTTGATGCTGGAGATACAAGCATGAACAAAACAGATATGCCTCCTGCCCTCAGACATACAGTCTACAAGGCAAGGCAGTTAAAAGGTCAGCTAAAACCAACATAATACATATTACAAACTTTCAATGAGGCATTTAACCGGGAAATGTGAGGCTAATAAAAATATATTTAGTAGCTGCTAAACGTTAATGTTTAAAAATATGTATATATACTTAGGATTAATAGATGAGTAGACTTGCACATTTCAAAACCCTTACTTACAAACATTTATTGATTATGAACCATCCTTGAAAATAATGATGGAGTAACTTCGTTGGTATGACTGGGAAAACAAGTTGAGTCTTCCTGGTTCAGACAATAGAGCATGGAGTTTAGTGAGTTAACACTGATATAATTAATGGACCTTATTTGAATTCACCAGATGGATGAATTTGTGTGTGGTGTTCATTTGTGTGTGAGTTGGTGTGTATATTAATTTTAAAATTTTATTTTATATTTTGTGGGGCGGTCTCCTGAGCCAAAGTGGGCTGAGAGAAACGCCTTCATTTTTATGCAATTGTATCTCGTGTATAGATTTCTGTGACCACTGCTGTAGCCAAGATACAGGACAGTTCTACTACAAGTTTCCTTTGAACTACCCTTTCATAAACACAGACACTGCCCTTATTCCCCACCACCCCCAACCCCCAGTGACTAATCATGTTTTTCATCTCTATAATTTTGTCATTTTGAAAATGCTATATAAATGTAATCATATTACTTGAAGCCAGGAGTTCAAAACAAGCCTGGGCAACCAAGCAAGGCTCCATCTCACAAAAGAAAAAAAAAATGAGCCAGGTGTGGTGGCACACATCCGTAGTCCCAGCTACTCACAGAGGCTGAGGCAGGAACATCGCTTGAACCACGAGCTCAAGACTGCACTGGGCCACTGTCACACCACTGCATTCCAGCCTGGGTGAAAGAGTGAGACCCTATATCTAAAAAAATAAAAATAAAATAAAATAAATGCAATCATACAGTATGTAACCCTTTGAGACTGCTTTTTTTTTCCCATTCAGCATCATCCCTTTGAGATTCTTCCAAGTTATTACATATATCAAGAGTTCACTACTTTTTATTGCTGAGTAGTATTCCACAGTACGGATGTGCTACAGTTTGTTTAACCATTCATCTGCTGAAGGACATTTGGGTTGTTTACAATTTCTGACTTTTACAAATAAAGCCGCTATGAACTTTTATGTACAGGTTTTTGTGGGTACATGTCTTCATTTCTCTGAGATAAATCTCTAAGAGTGCAATTGCTGGGTTGTATAGTAAGTGTACGTTCAGTTTTGCAAAAAAAATCACTATACTCTTTGCATGACAGTTCCCAGCGGACTTGGACTGATCGAATTCTCCCCAGTTTCTCACTTGTATTAATAGTTCTCAAGAAAACTGTAGAATGTGCTAGGAATGCAATATCCTGAGATGAGGGACTGGCTGAAACATCCCAGGCTCTGTTCCAGTCCCTCCTAGAAATAGGATGTCCTTCATCATTTTAGTCCAGCATGTCATGTTGCCTCCAGAATGTAAAATCCAAGATGGTCTGCTTTCCAGGGTCACTCAGCTGTGGTACAAATGGGGTACACACAAATGAGACTCCATCCTCCTGGGGCAGCTTTCCTGAGTCTTGGGAGATTGGCCCACAATGAATCCTATGCTTCTGTTGTCCCTTGTTGCCTAGCTGTAAATAATAAATTCACTTCGTGTAACTTGTACACATGGGTGTTCTGTCTCACCAGACTCAGCTGGTAACCAATGCACAGCAAACCTGCTTTGCACTCTTTTCCAGAGTGGCTGCACCATGTTACGTTCCTAGCAGCAGCGTACAAATGCATGTAAGCAGTTTAAGTGCTTAGCCAACAGTTCTTCAGAATAACTAACAAAAGTATAATGCTGCTTTTTACTTATTAATTCCTAGAGATTAATTAGTCTCCTCCTGATAAAAAACATTCCAAATCTTGCAGCTCAAATCACTCTACAGTTTGGGAAGATATTAATGGAAGAAACTCACTACAAAGAACTTAGGTCAAGGAAGTCCTAAGAAAAGTGTTTTAAAACAAGGCTAAAACTTTATTCTAAAGACAACTGAGAGCAGGGAAGGTAACTAACATTTATTGAGCCTATATACCAGGCATTTTTCAGTCTTTATTTCATTTATTCCTCCCAATGACCCTGTAAAAAGGGTAATATGTCTATTTTATAAATTTTACAATTGGCGGGCTTGGTGGCCCATACCTGTAATCCTAGTACTTTGGAGGCCAAGGCAGAAATATTGCTTGAGCTCAGGAGTTCAAAACCAGTCTGGGCAAAATA